TGATTATATCTAATTAAACAGGTGGATTATATCTAATCATACGAGACCTTTTAAAACAGAGAGTTTTCTTTGGCAAGATACAGAAGGAGACATTGGAGGAATTCACTACAAGCATCTGAAGCACCATTGATGAAATGGAGGGGACATATGACAAGCAATGCAGGAAGATTCTAGAAGCTGAGAGTGGCTCCTCTCTGATAGACTGTAAGTAAACAGAGAGCTCTATTCCATAACCACAAGGAACTGAATTTTAACAACTTGAATAAGTTTGGAAGTGGATGCTTCCCTAGGTTCTCCACATAAAAGTCCGACTAAGCAGATACCTTGAGACCCTCAGCAGAGAACGCAGCTGAGTTTACCTGAACTTCTGACCTACAGAACTGTGAGATAATAAATTTGTGTTGTTTTAAGTTGTTAAATTTGTGATAATGTGTTATGTAACAATAGAAAACTAATACAGATTTAGATATAAAAATAAAGCACAAAGAAATTTTCCTGGATTAGATGCTTCCTAGTAGGTTTAAAAGGATCTCTGGTGGTGCAGTAGTTAAAGCATTCAGCTGCTAAACAAAAGGTCAGTGGTTTGAACCCACCAGCCACTTCATGGGAGAAAGATGAGGCAGTCTGCTTCACTAAAGATTTACAGCCCTGGAAATCCTATGAGGCAGTTCTACTCTGTCTTATAGGGTCTCTATAAGTCAGAATTAACTCGATGGCAGTGGGTTTGGTTTTTTGTTTCATATGCTATATGGTAGCATGAACTTTTAAAAATGACCTTTCTTTTTCTCTTGTTTAATTCTACCAAAACATATCTGCTTATCTCACTTAATATTTGTTACTGTTGTTGTTGTTGTTGTTGTTTTTGTTATGTGCCCTTGAGTCGGACCCGACTCATAGCGACCCCTACTTGGGTTTCTGAGGTGTTGTTGTTGTTGTTGTTAAGTGCCGTCGAGTTGTTTCCGACTCATAGCGACCCCATGCACAGCAGAATGAAACACTGCCCAATCCCGCGCCAGCCCCACAATCCTTGCTATACTTGAGCCCATCATCGCAGCCACCATATCAATCCATCTCGTTGAAGGTCTCCCCCTCTTTCATTGA